CGTCATGAACATATCTGCGTAACCCTTTTTGTGGGTGGAGTGGGTCACAGCCCCACTGTCAAAATGAGGTCTGTATTGGGAGGTTTATATGGTCTACATGGTCTACATGGTCTACATGGTCACTTCATTGATGATTCATGTCATACTTTGCCTTACTGTGTCACACCTGCAATGGCTGTGTGCGTCCTATTGGGGGCCTCGCCCCTTCATTTAGGGAACCACTGCACTTGGCCCGTTATTTCCCCGCTTAGGAATCCCTGGCCCGCAGCCAAACTTTCTTGCCAACCGCTGCCTGACCAAGAACCAACGACTCGGTTCCTGGAGTTTCTCCACGGCGTAGAACGTTGGATATATTTCTTTGCCATGTGTTTGTGTTCCTGTGTAGGTGTACTCATGGGGACTATTTTATGGGGCACTTTGTCCTTGTGGGGACATCTGAGTGAGAGAGTGTTTTTGAAAAGTACAGAATAAAGACCAGACATATATTTGTAATGAGTCAGAGGCTGGAGAGTTAGTGACATCTGCAGAGTGCTCACAAAACACGAGAACCTGTGTGGGTGTGCTGTGCTTCAGTTTGGGTCATACTGGGGGGGGTGGCTGGTCTGTGTTGTACTTAGTTGAAGAATCCGGTCCTATAGAACCTCCCTTCAAACCCGTCTGTGGAACCGATCTCACTCTTCTCCCAGCGGTGCCTTTTTCTAACCAGCTGTGTACTGCCTGGAACTGGAACTGTTGGTGCCTGCTCTGAATGTAAACGTCCTTCGCCGATTCTGTACAAATCTGCTGATCTAGTAAAAAAGGAGGTCACATGACTTGATGTTGGTGAAGTTCTCAGTGGGTCTGAATCACCTCAGCAAAGAGAGGTTGATGAGGGACCAGAGGACGCAGGTGGACCGGAGGTTGGTCTCCGTTTTTGTTTCCTCTGACTGGACGTCTCTGGACGTCTGTCAGTTTCTGCATGTGATCCAGTGGTGATCTGCTGCTGCAGTGCTGTGGTTGAATTAACTTAGTGAACGACTGTTTATATTGTGGTGACGGTGATGGTGTTCAGTCGTGGACATTTAACACTTTAATAAGAAACACGTTTTCTTTGGTGCTTTGCTTTTCTTTGGTTCTCTTTTAGAGCAGGAACATGTGACTGTTGTTGTGCCATGTGTAGAACTGTTGGGTTTTTCGGTTTCTTTGACATTAAACTATAACTGCTATAATGACAATTTGAAAAAATCCAGAATTGTGACCTTTGCTACAACTCACATCAGGTCAAGTCAAAACACGTGTTGCCCGGATAGACGGGACAGTTTTGGTTGTGAAGACGAAAAGGTTAGCATAATGGATATTATCATAGAAAAACAGCACCTACTAGTGGATAAAGAACTTGGGGGCGGTCGTTGGCTCGTTTGATTATTTGATTTAATCCTCAGGTTTAAACTTTGTGTGAAACTTGATTCATTTGATGTTTTTGTATTTTATAAAGTTTTTTTTATTTATCTGGTTGTGTTGTATTAGAACCAAAAGTGCAGTTTCTGGCACATCGTTGCAATAAAAGTATTGACAGGTATTTGTTTCTGCCGCACACCGTCCATATTGACTCAGATACCCGGGGTCATTGGAGTTCTGGGGTCTTTCAACCACAGACCCCCCCCCGCGCACGACTCATGATGGTCAGGTTGATGAATGGCCTCGCCCGGTGGCAGTAACCCCCCTGGGGGGGGGGGGGAACCACCCTGTCCCAGCAGAAGAACCTGGATATCGAAGCAAAACGTTGTCCACCCTCTGGATGAGGAAGTCAAAGCTCCATAGATACAGGTATATATTTATTTTATTATATATTTGTATTTGGTTGAATTTACTCCAGGAATGTCTTTGACTGAAGGTTGGAACATTTGAGGAACAGGAATCATCAGGGAATAGGGAATAATAGAAAAATGTCTCCTTTTTTCTCATTTCAATTATGCTCAGTTTCGTGTGACCGACTGATGATGTCAAAGCTGTGGTTCCCTGAGGACTGTCCTTGACATCAACTTTCATCCACCTTTTCCTGGGACGTGATGTAACGTCACCGCTTGTTCTGTTGTTCTGACGAGAACGTGACTATTGACGTGACTTCATCTGATCCTGGTCCAGTTCTCAGTACTGAGGCGAGTCTACGACGAACTCACAGAACCTTTCCACCGGTCTAACAGAATGTATTGGTTCTTGTGAACTCCATCACTCTGTAATTAAAAACCCAGTAGATGGCGCCCGTGACACTCATCTGCATGTATATAGCGAGGTTGGCGTAGTTAGCTTGGCCAAATATTGGTGAAGAACTGATTATCGAAAACAAAACGCTTTTTGCTACAGCGCTGCTAAGGCACTGCTAACAGGCTAGCTCCTGGTGCACAGGTAATAACGAGCTACATGTCTTCATTAACGTCTTTGTCCAACGAACATTCAGTGAGAAGTTTGTTCTTATTTCTCGATAAAAAAAAGTTCTGACTCATTTGACAGGAGTCGACGTCGGTTCCAGTGGACCGGGACACGGTTATCGGACATGTTAGCTTTAATAACACAACGGTTACGATGTGTCGGCGTCGTTGAAATGTGTGTTGAAAATTTGACCAAAATTGAGTAAAAAACTTTTTTTTTTTCACGCGTTTCTAAAATCCCTCGATATTGAGAAATAACTCCTGTTTTGTTAAGAGAATAATTATCGACGACGATGATCGAACCGAAGTCAACGTCCCTTAGAAAGAATACGTCAAATGTGGGGTTAATGGAGTCACCGTCGTTGTGTTTAGTTGTACATTCACTCAGTCACACACCCCCTCCCTCACCCTCCCTCACCTCTCTCATATTTCTCTCTGTCTTTCTCCCCCCGTATTGACACAAACACAGATTTTATGCATCTGCCCGAACTGATGCTGCTGAAGAAGATGACGATGATGAAGAGGAATTTGGGAGGACGTCGCTCCTGCAGCTCAGAGTAACGCAGCAGTCATGGATGTTTGGATGTGTGTTCATCCGTCACACATACACCTGACACCCTGAGCCGCAGAAGAGGAAGATCAGCGAGGGAGAGAGAGAGAGAGAGGACGAGGTGGAGGAGTTGATGCACACACACACTCTCTCTCTCTCTCTCCCTGTCCCCCCTGTTCCCCCCTCTCTCACCCTCTCTCTCTTTTCTCTCTCTCTCTCACACACACACACACACCTCTGGACGCTGGGCCGTCGTCTCTCCGCAGCGCCGCAGCTTTCACAGGGACACCGTCTCGGTACGTGACTCTGAGCCCAGAGCTGCCTCGACTGAGGAGGGAGGGAGAGGAGAGAAGGTGCAGGGGGGCTCTATAGCGCGGCACCCCGCCCGTCTCGCCTAATTTGGACTGCAGGGATAAGGAGCCTGACGGTGATCAGGTGCTGTCACCGCCGCGTCCTGTCCGCACCTCTGCGCCAAAGGTAAGCTGTGCTTCAACCGCTGCATCTGCTGCTGCTGCTGCTGCGGTGCATTAGTATGGAGAGAATGACTGCTGCGATGATGATGATGATGATGATGATGATGAAGCTCCTTCTCCGTTCAGCGCAAACCGCACTGACTCAGCCGCTGCATCTCCCGGTACGCACCGTGCAGCTGCTGCGTGTTCCTGTCGGTGAGAACAGACCGATGTTTACCGTCAGGTTTGTTCGATTTTTTTTTCTTTTTCTGATCATGTTTTTCCGCGTCAGCTTCTACTGGAGGAGCTGCAGGGAACAGATGACGTAGGGAATCCCCACAGTAATCCATTAGCGTGTGATGACACCTGCACATCCCGCTATGTCGCCCCCCCCCCACCCACTCACCCACCCTCGACCGCCCCCCGTGGCCTCCTCTGTCACTCGCGCGTCCGTGCGCACACGCATATGTGGACTGATTAAAGTTGAAACTGTTACGTAACGTGGTTTATGCTGATGTGTGGATGCGTTCATCGTCATCAACATCATCTTCATCATCAGCTGTAGAATGTTCACGGTGTCACGTGTTCACGTCGTGACCAGTGGCCGCACCCCCCAGGGGAAATGGAATACTTTGAATAGAATTTTTTTGAAATGTGTGTGTGTGTTTGGCTGCATGTTATGAATTGAACTGAAGTACCAGTTGTAGTACTATGTAGTACTGGTCTAATCTGACCTGTAGCTGCCTCCCTTTTCATTTATCTCCCTTTCTCTCTATCTCTATCTCTCTCTCTCACTCTCTGCCCCTCCTCCCTCTCCCACTGTGTAAGTGGACGAGCCAACATTTAATTTTCCAATGTTACCATAATGAATTTCAAATGATCCCCGTCCCTCCCCAGGGAGGGCAGGTCTTTTTGTAGGGGCATTAACTGAGTGTTTCATTAATCATTCAGATTCAAGTCAATGGCAGATGATGGACGCAGTAACACAGGCTGTAAAAATACAAACGGAAACTGAACTACAGTACAATTTTGTGTTTTTACACACACACATTTCTCAGTGTGTAGGTGACTCTCTCTCTCTCTCTTTCTTTGCTCCTGTTGTGTGGGAATAATCCTGTAGTTCACACATTCCTGTCTCTTTATTCTCTGTCTACAGGTTCCTGTTCCTGTTTCTGTTCTGAAGTCGGTGGAATAAAAACGTCTTCACCAGTCTGTGACACCACTCTCTAATCTGACGCTGTTTCCTCACCGACCTCAAACAGCAGAATGTGCTGTGACATCACTGACCGGCGTGACCAATAGGAACCCCTGAGTATCCACTCTTTCACTTCCTGCCTCGTCCGTTCCTCCCCCCAACAGGCAGCATGCGTCCATCCCTCGCCACCGCGGTCCTACCGCCCAGGACTCGATCCCACAACCCACCAAACCTGTCCGTGGGAACCCGTGAACATCTGTCAGCGCCACGAAGACGCAGCCCAAACATTCGCCACACCCTCAGCCCAGAAAACCTGCGGACACTGGCAGAAAGGGGCGGGGCTGCGCTGGACACCGTGTCTGTGTCCAGTAGTCCAATCGGCCTTCCGCGGGCCAACAGTGACACGGACCTGGTGACATCACACAGCAGGTCCTCGTTGACTGCGTCGACCCTGGAGTACACACTGAACCGTGGTCAGAACCTCATTATATCCTGGGACATTAAAGAGGAAGTGGACGCTACTGACTGGATTGGACTGTACCACATAGGTGAGACGACCGACCTTCGCTGACGTGTTTACTGTCGTTGATGTGACGTGGTTCCAATAATCTTACACTAAAATCTGGCCAAACCTAAAAGATCCTCTGTCCTGTCCCCGGGTCAAAGGTCAAATCCCTTCAGTCTTATTGATGTGTCATTGACTAAAACTGACGTAAACCTGATCAACTCTGTGACAAGTTTTTTTCACTCCTAGGAATTGAAATACTACTAAGGGACCTGGTAATATTTATTTATTTATCAGTACAGACCACAGTATGAGTTGCTGGCACCAACATTCTGCGAACAATCCCCTGATTATTGAAATAGTACAGCCGTTCTTCCCCAAAACTATTTTTAGGTCACACATCATTTGACAAAACCCAGACATTGCGTTATCGATGTTTAATTATCGGAGGAAAAACCGATAACGGTTCTTACAGATATAACATAATCATGCTAATATCGGGCTGATAATATCTTGTTTTTTTT